TTCTTCTTACAGATTTATGTACATAATTTGTTAGATTTTTGCCTAATTATTTCTCTACTGGAGGTACAAATCTAAATGGTATTTTGTTTTTAACTTCACATTCCATTTGCTGATTGTTGGAATACAGAAATAAATTGACCTTTTCTCAACCTTATATCCTACAAGCTTGCCATAAATTCTCAGTAGTTCTAGCAGCTTTTGTGTTGATGCTAGATTTTCTACTCAGACACTCCTGTCATCAGTGAACATAAACAATTTTCTTTCCTTTCTCGTCTATTTTGCTTTTTTGTCTTGTCTCATTGTATTAGCTAAGACTTCCAGCAGAATATCGCACAGCATTGGTGATAGGCAACATCCTTCTGTTGTTGTACATATTAATGGAAAAGCTTTTAGTTTCTCAGCATTAAATATAATGTTAGCTACAGGATTTTAATAGCTGTTCTGTACCAAATTGAGGAAATTCTCCTCTACTATCAGTTTGCTGAAAGATTCTTTGTTTGTTTTGTAGTAATGAAATTTGAACCCTGGGCCTTCACAGTGAACTACAGCTCCATTTTTTTTTTTTTTTTTTTTTTTTTTGAGACAAGGTTTTGCTAAGTTGCTAACTTCTGTAGACTGAGTTTGAACTTGCAGTTCTCCTACCTCAGCCTTCCAGAGTCCTGGAGTTAGAGAACTGTGCCACTACGCCTTGCTTGCTGAAAGTGGTTATGATTAATAGATGCTGGATTTTGTCAAATGCCTTTTCTATATCTATTGATATGACCATGTGATTTTCCTTTATAATCTGTGATGGATTCCATGCATTGCGTTTCAAGTGTTGAACTGGGCTTGCACACCTGGAATAGATCCCACTTGATCATGACAAGTACTTCCACTTGCAAATTGTTTGCTTGCATGTTCGTGACAGATGTGGGTGCAGTTTCCTTTCTTTCTAATACCTTTGTCAGATATGGGTATTAGTGTAATGGTGACCTCACAGAATAAGTTAGGAATGTACCTGGTTCTGCTTTTTATCTTCTGGAAGAGATTGTAAAGAATTCATCCAATTTCTTCCTTAAATGTTTGGTAGAATTTGACAGTGAACCAATCTGAAACTGATGCTTTCTTTCTTGGAAGGTTACTAATTATTGAGTCAATAACTTTCATGGGATGTAGGCCTTTTCTGATCTTCTGTTTCTACTTGTGTGAGTTTTGGTAGATTATATCTTTCAAGAAATTGCCCTTTTCCTGTAAATTATCATGTTTGTAGATACAGTTATCTCATAGTCTTCTTGATTATCCTTTAATTTCCATGAGATATACAATGATGTCCCTTATTTTATTTACATAATTAGTAATTTGTATCTTCTCTCTTTCTTTTTTAGCCTGGCCAGAAGCTTACTAATTTTATTGATCTTTCAAAGAACTGGGTTCTGGTGGTGTTTTTTTGCTATTGATTTCCTCTTTTCTGTTTCATTTATTTTTGCACTAATTTCATTATTTCCTCTACTTCTTGTAAATATAATTTGATTTTCTTTTTCTACCTTTCTTAGTTGGAAACTTAGATTATTGATTTTTTCTTATATACATATATATATATACATATATATATGAGAGAGAGAGAGAAAGCTATAAATTTCCCTCTAAATACTACTGATGCACTCTACAAAATTTGATTCTGTATTTTAATTTGAATTTTTAAAAATTTCTCTTGAGATTTCTTTTTTAACCTGTGTGTTATTTTAAATATGCTGTGTATTTTCAAATATTGTGAGCTCTTTAGCTATCTTTATGTAATGGAATTCTAGTTTAATTCCACTTTCATCAGAGAATATTGTATACGTACAATCCTCTTCAGTTTTTCTCAAGATATGTTTTATGTCCCTGAACGTGGCCTACTCTTGTGAGTGCACCCTGTGAGCCTGAGAGTAACGTGAGTTCTGCTGCTGTGGGGGAGGGTGCTCTGAAGGTGTCAGTTAATTCCGTGATGGATGGTGCTGTTGCCTTCGCTGTGTCCTGACTGATTTCCTGCCTGGTAGAGCAGTCCAGGGCTGCAGAGGATGTTGAAGTTTCCGGCTTGCAGTGGTCGATTCCTCTGTGTCTTCGTGTTGTTCTGTCTCCTTTTGCCTCATGTATACTGATGTTCTCTTATAGGGACACACACATGAAGGATTTTTAAGTCTTCTGCCCTTATGAAATGCCTCTCTTTATTCGTGGCAAATTTTCTTGCTCTAAAGTTTCTTGTGGAATTTAATACCATGGTTGATTGATGTGTACATGGTACATCTTTCTGCCTACCTTTACTTTTAATCTCTATAGGTCTTTAGATTTATGGTACATTCCTTAGTGGTAATATAGACTTGTGTCTGTTAATTGATGTGTAACTTAGAACCCCTACAAATAAGGAAGTGACTTTTAATAGGTGAGTTGATCGACTCACTTTATTAATACTTAAGTGTGATGATAATTAATGAATAGGAATTTGGATGCTGTTAGCATGGGGTAAACATTGGCTATCAGCTAGTAACTCAACCCAGCTTCTTCAAAGCCTAATATTAATTTTGGGGTAACAGAATATTCATAATAATTGAAAGCTACTTGTTGATGATTATAATACAACCTGTAAGCAAAAATAAATTAATGAAATTCTTTACGAGAGAAATCCTATTTTTCCAGAATCAGGACCTTTGGACTCAGAGTCCTGCAGTCTATCTCAGATCTGCCAGATGGAAAAATTACTGAGCCTCAGATCCCTCATCTGTAAAATAAGAAGCAAGAGTGGCTCTCCCACAGTTCCTAGGCTACACTGAGGCAACACATGCCCAGTACTGACAGGCAGGGAAAGGCAGAGGAAAGTCGGCCTCTCTCCATAAGCAGAACAACAAAAATGTAGAAGCAATTATCTGTATAAATCAGTGCAAAGCAAATCAAAGAAATTCGTGCAGAAAGTGAGTCTTTTGCCTGAATTATGGAACTAATTATCTCGGTCCTCCACTTCAGCATTCCTGGGGAGACCTGGCAACAGAATATGTTTCCAGGAACTCACAGGTCCTGAAGTGGAGACAAAATGTATTCTTGTGAGCACAGCTGTGGAGATGGAGCCCAGAACACCCAAGGGGAAAGCACATCAGGCCCAGACTGTGGCCCCAACACCAGCACAGCTGGCTCCACAGAGGAGCCCTGGAGAAGAAGTCTGCTCCTGTGTCTGCTCATAGTGGGAGAGGAGCATCGGCACCCAGAGGGGTCACCTGCTGCTCAGGAGGCTAGGACAGGAGGATGTCAGGTTAGAGGCTAGCGTGGACAGCTTAGCCCGGCTCTGTCTCCAAATACAAGGGAGGGGCTAGGAATGTAGTTCAGTAGTAGAGAACCCCAGGATCCATCCCAAGAAAAGAAAAAAATAATATTTGTAACTTCCCCTTATCGCCCTATATTAGTCACCTTCCTATTGCCAGGACAAAATGCTTCACGTTCACATCTTGGAGGAGAGGTCTCATTTGGCTTATGGTTTGGGGGATTTAGTCCATGTTTGGTTGACTCCAAAGCAAAAGCAGCATGGTAGAAGGGCCTGGTGGAGGAAAACTGTCCACATCATGGCAGCCAGGAAGCAGGAGAGAAGAAAGGGAGCAACAGCCTCCACAGGCACCTCCCTAGTAACCTACCTCTCCAACCGGGCCCTACCTCCTAACGGCACAGTTAGCTATGAACTCATCAGTGGAGCCACCCATTGGTCAGTACAGCGCCTGCATGCTCCAGTGACCTTCCAAAAGCCCCACCTCTGAGTACCTGAGACTTTGGGAGACATTCTAGAGCTAAACTAACACACCATATTAAACACATTATTGGTGATTTTCATTCATCTGTTGAAAAATGAATCTTTTTTCCCCCTTCAACTTTTAGCAATTAAAAGGGCAACTTACTAATGAAATCCTTCTGTCTTCAAAGTATGAAATTAAAAGATGATTATAACTACAGGCAAGAAAGCATTTGGATTATGCATCATTTGGAAATGATAATAAAGATTATCCAGATGGTCTCATGTTATAGCACCTCCTATTGCCTTAGCAATCACCTACTTTGGGTGCAATTTTGATTATGTGGCTCATTTTAAATTCTGCTGTATCCTAGGTCAATCCATGTCAGAATGATTTACTAGAAATAGCTGCCATTTTTTTCTTTGTAAGTGTTATTAGGTGCTTAAGCAGAATTGGAATATTTTTAGATATGGTATTTTTTGGGGTGGTGGTGCTGTCGTTTTCTTAAACTTTCCTACTTTATCCCTTCTCCTTAAGCATCTCGAATTCTATTCTTGTCTGTCTTGGGTGCATAAAGCAGCTTCTCGTGGTAAGATCTGTAAAATTTGTTTTAGCTATTTATTTAATGTTTGCTTCCTGTAGGGCTTTACAGCCTTTACATAGGTAGCTATAATTTTATATTATGAGTTTCTTGCAATAACTGAGCAGAATACAGAAGCCAGGGTTGCTCTCCCAGCCTGTCTGCATCCTCTTTCCCCTAGGGAGGGAGCAGGGAGGAGTTGGCCACACTATGATGCCAGGAGGCCCAGTGTACTTATGGCTTTTGCAGTATACTGGTGTATAACCTCACTGTAAGGCAAGAAGCACCTCTAATTTCAGTTTTGTCTGGGAACAGCTATTGGACTCTTCTCTTTAACAGTACATACTGCAGTGTAGAACTTCATTTGGTACAAAGTTAATAACTCTAGGGGAAGAGCAGTACACATGATGATTGTATTTTATAAGGATCACTGGTCATTTTAATTTAGCTTATAGTAGGAAGAACACAATGTTTTCAGCTGTATTTTTCCCCTCTGATAAGCAGTGGCTATTTTTCATCTCTAGGTGTGCAGCCTGGTAGAGAACCTGACATATAGAAACACATAAATCAGTGCATGAGTGACTGTGATTGATTCACTAGAGGTTATTCCTGAGCATCAGTCAGCATGCATGCCCACACTCCAGTCTCCATTCCCGTGCATGTCTACTAACTTAACTCTCTGTCTGAAGGAAACTGGCCAAGAAGCGGAAGGAGACAATGAGCAGCACTCGGCAGGAGATGACCGTGATGGTGAACTCCATGGACAAGAGCTACGCCGAGCAGGGCACGAACTGCGACGAGGCTTTCTCTTTCATGGACACACACAATCTGAATGGGCGATGTAAGTGCTCTCATTCCCTGCTTTAGCAATCTCCAATCTGAATGGCGATGTAAATGCATTCCTGCTTTAGCAATCACTCCAGCTCGCTGGGATTCCAGCTAGCACTGGGGAATTGACAAACAAAATGAAATTCCTAACGAAGTCTTAGGCCATGTTACTTTCTCACTTTACATCATCTTGAAAACTCTGGGTGCTTGGGTTGCTAAGATGTTGCTCGTAGGACCAGGTCCCAGAGCACAGGGAACTGCAGTGGAGTTTCTGTAAGTTGCTCTAGGGCAGTGCATGGAGGCTTCCCAGTCCAGGAGGAAGACACCTGCTCCTTAGCATCCTTGTGTTGTTCAGATCCCATTTGTAACCAAGCCAGGTGGAGACTGACACAGGGAAGCCTGCTGCAGAACAGTTCCCTAAATGGCAGTAACAAGTTAATTGTTTGTTTGTTTAGCTGACAGGTTCTGCCTTTATTATAGGGCTATTCCTGGCAGTTAATAAATTAAACTATATTTAACTTCACACCAGGTAGGTTAACCAAGCTCAGGTAATTCCTTCCTAGGCTGCCACCTGTGATCCAGGTACAAAGAATTATTTCTGGAAACTAACAATTAGATTGAGTATACGATGTGCAGAAGGAGCAGTGGCTTAGCCCCCAGTGATCTCGAGGACCAGAGGCAGGACCCATGCTACTACCTGATTCTGTGTTCATGGCAGACACTTACCAAGTTCGACGTCAGGGGTTTCTCTACCCCCATGCATGAAGCCCGTGCCTATAGACTGCTCTTCCCCATTCCATGATCTGGTCTATGTTGGCGCATGGATGGAATCCAAGCACAGGGGCTGGCGGGCCTCACGACTACAAGGGGCACAGAGATGAAAACTATTTCCCCCTTTTTTGTAGAAGTTTCTCTTTTGGAGCAAATGTTTTTTCATTTAAAAGACTGTATATGCAGTGTGATCAAAATACATGGTACATGTTTAAATGTTTTACAAAGTGACTAGGATACAAGATACATTGCCTTTAATCCCCTCAAAATCCTCCCTATCGCTGTGTATGTACCAATCCCATCATTCGTGCCACTTTCTCAAGCAGTTCTGCAGTCCTCCTTCCTGAGTGTCTTTACAAGGTGTGGTCAAAAATATGGTGAATGCTGCTGCTGAGTGCCATCCAACAGAAAGGCAGCTCATCAGAACATGATGCTGTGTCCCCAACCACCTTACTCACTGAATCTGGCACTTCCGGTGAAATCAACATCACCATGACAGGGAAACACTCTGAATCAGTTCAGAACATTTAGGCAGCCAGGACAGTACAGCCACAGACATGGAAGAGGATCTGGAGAACTGCTTCAGAAGTAGCAGGAACAATGGGAGTGAGTGCTTTCAAGGTGAAGGGACGTACTCTGAGATGAATGAATGGCAGTGTATCTCTTACTCTAATAAATTGTCTTTAAATTTAAACATTGCCCATATATTTCAGTCTCACCTCACACAGGGTTGGTTGGAATTTCTATAGTAGCAGCTATTTCTTAAGCATCAGTGTGAAAGGGGCCGGGAAGCATACCTCAGTTGTAGAGCTTGCCTAGCATGTGCTTGGCCCTGGATTCATCCCCAAGCACCTCAGAGGAAACAAAGGGACCATGTAGATGCACTGTATATTCTCACTTTCCAGGATAACCCATTCTGTTTCCAAACCTTCTACTTCATGGTGCAATTCCTCAGAAGTTAGTTTACTTCGAATGACCCACTTTAACAGAAAGAAACTCCATTAGTAGAAGCATTGAAGTTGGAACACAGTACTTCTGGGAAGAGAGCAGAGTGGTGAGCAGCAAAGAAAGAGCCTGTCCAAGATTTGGTGAGCAGACACTGGAATACAGCAACATGAAGAAGAGAAGAAGGAGAAAGCAGGTCCCCTGGACCCAGGAAGGATCTGAAGAGAGAGTTGGAGCCCATAGAGAGTGAAGAGAGAAACTTCAACAAAAAATGAGGTGGCAGGCGGCACCTTCTCCCTGAGCCTGAACTCACTGTGTGGAGTCGGCAGACCTGCAGACACACTGACTGTTTGCCACCCCAGGGGCCTCCACAGAAAGACACATCATGGAACGGAGCAGTGAATGCAGAGGACTATAGTGGCTGGCTGTGTTTGATGCTGCTGTTATTGCTGATTATACCATGTTAGCCAAAGTGACATAATTGTTCTAAGCAGTTGTTCTTCCTGGTGTACCAAGAATGAGATTACCTAAGGATTATAAAAAATACAATAGGCCAGTACCAAAGAACCAGAGGCTGGGCCAAGTAGGCAGTAACTTCTCATCCCCAGTAAATTGAAGAGGTGGGATCTTACAACACACTCAAAACTCAAAAGCCAGCTACACCTAGATGACGCCTCTGAGAAGCAGTCATTTTGTAAGGGTTCTAAATACTAACGCTAAAGCTACTCACCATAGGCAGTGTATAAGCATCAACCTAGGAATTAAGCTAAAAAGAAAATGTGAAGGCACTTACAAGATGCAACACCAGATGTCCAGCTTACCAAAGGCAAATAGCCACCCACCTAGCCTCTCTGGTAGTAGCAGAGGTAAGAAGGTGAATGAACAAGGTTCTAGAAAAAAAAATCAACTCAAAAATAATTTCTCAGATAACTATAGAGATGGTGACCACAATGAAAGACATGCTTAATGACTCTAGAGAAGATACAGATAAAAAGAGGAGCTAAGAAATTGATGGAAACCATGAATGTCCAACATAGGAAAGAAATGGAATCCATAAAACAGATTCAGACAGATATCCAAGTGACTAAAGGTTCCATTGAAAGTATCTGCAGGAGGATGAGCCAGTGTGAGAACAGAATCTCAGACATGGAAGACAGTGCTGTGGTTAACAATCATGAAAAGAAAGATTTCTTAAAAATATCCAGGGACCACAAGAAATCAATCCAGCAGCTGTAAGCTGATGCAAAGAAGAATAACGTAAGATTGATCAGAGTTAATGAACAAGCAAGAGATAGCACAAATGACATAAAAATCCTCTTCACAGATGTCAGAGGAGAAAACTCCCCTGCCAGGGAAAAAGAATTTGATATACAGTAAGTGAACCATATAGAACTCCAATTAGCCATGATCCAAAAATCTACAGAAAGGCATATAATAATCAAGATTCCAGAAATTCAACACAAGAACAGAACACTGAAAGCTGTTAGAGAAAAGAAGCACGCCACCTATAAAGCAAAGCCCATCAGCATCACAACTGACCTCTCAGCACAAACCCTCAAGTCAAGGAGAGTTTGGAGTGAAGTATTTCAAGCCCTAAGAGAAAACAACCTCCCACCTAGATTGATATGCTCCACAAAACTGTCTTTTAAAATTGATTGAGAAATAAGATACTTGGATGACAAGAACACCTGAGGATATTCATGACCACCAAACCAGCACTCCAGAGTATTCTGAAGGACATTCTAGAAAGAGATAACAAGGACTACAACTCCATGAACCCCAACAGAATGAATCCACGAGGCAAGTCAGGTTGGAACACGGAACATTCACATCCAGATAGGAAGTATCATTTGGAAGTTACATTTTTAAAAATCAGTATCTCCGAGCCCAAATGCTCCTATGCAAAGGACTGCTGTACAGCTGGCATTTTCAGCCTGCACAGCCATCCTGCTGTCTGGCATGGTTTGATGCCTCCTTTGCTGAAACCAGCAGAAGAACCACAGCAGAATTCCATTTTCAGGGCTGGGGATATAGCTCAGTGGCATAAGCGCCTGCTTGGCAAGTGCAAGGTTGTGAGTTCAATCCCTGGTACTGCAAAAAAAAAAAAAAAAAGCCCATTTTCCTCCCTTTCTTTTAGCAACCAGTAGGTCTTGTCCAGTCTCACCTGAGGGGAACATCCCTGGTGGCAAACCTTGTCATAATATTTTGTTAATGCCTTAAAACCAGAGTGCAGCTACCGAGCAGGCCACTTTCAATATACTTCAATATATGCCAGGAGCCATTCATTTGCCCCCAAGGCTGCCAACCTGCCCCTGTTATATCCATGCCTAGTGTTTGATCTTGTAGGGCCACAAGAAAGTGCTGTGAGCTCCTAGGTGAGTCACTTTGAGAAGTAAAACAGGCAGAAAAATAAGACTGGAGAATATGCATGAACACATTTGTGAGAGAGAAATAATCTCTCCAACCAAAGCAGATAGAGTTGTGCCATCTACTTTAAAATGATATAAAGAAGAGAACATAGATATGGGTAGTTGGAAATGGGTTTAATTTGTATACTAAAAGACAACCATGTTTTAAAGTATCTTTAACAAAAAGGCAAAAGTAAACATAGTAGTTTTATGTTGCTTTATGCTTTTTAAACAACTGTGTAGAAATGTCTGCAGGTATTGGAGAAGTATTACTCTCTCTGACCCCAGCTAGGTGATGAGCATGCATGTTTTTTGGTTCTTATTTTCATCAATTGCCCTCTTTTCCCAGCGGCTTACCACAAACATGCATTGTAAATGTGATCCTTCTCTATTTTAGAAAATATCATATAAATGACAAACAGCCTGGGATGTGGTCCTTGTTCTGCCATTTATTAATTCTCCCCTTCAAAAATATATACAAGGGTAAAAGCACTGTCTGACAGGACTGCTCTCAAGAGCTAAAGTGTATTAGCCTGTCATCAGAATGACAATAACAGCGTCCAAGGCACCTACAGCAGTTTCCATAAATACAGTGATGTCATTGTATATTAGCACCCTGATCAGGAACTCAATGTCAAATCAATCATGTAAATACCTCAGAGGACAGCAGACACGACAGTATGCACAACCACCTTGAGTACATTTAAATCCTTGTACTCTAATGGAATTAAAGTGCTTCTATATTCTAAACCAACTAAGATATTGAAGCATTAACATACTACCTTATAAATGGAAAATACCCATTTTAATGGAATCAGATAAATTGGATGAGATTCACTGTCCATCTTACAAACAAAGAGTAAGATAAAGAGTGATGATTGAATGTTTCCAAGCAACATCTCAAAAGAAAAATTATAGGCTTTTTGTAAGGACTTAAAAGACTAAGTGAACAGTGTGGACACAGTTTTCACCTTAAGTATAGCACACTTCACCTTTATTTGTCATAAACCAGCTCATAGGCGTTGGAAAGTTCTCTGTGTTTCCCAAACATAGGGAGAATGTGACAAACTACAGCAACATTGGTGTTGCCCATATTTGCCAGATCATTGCTATAGTTTGAGTGGTAAACATCAGCTCCATGTGAGAGCAGAACTACACAAGCAAAGGCTAGAAGTCAACCAGGGTGTGTTGAATTTCTCTGTTCAAAATGGTGGCTGTGGTTGTGCGTTTTCCCTTAAGGGGTAAAGGACTTTTGTCCCCTCAAAGGACATGTGACTCCCCAAGACAGCTGAAATGATGGCATTTGCCACGTAGATGTGAGTGAATCTCGGAGATGTCTTTATGGACAGTCTACACTGCACAGAACGCTGTGTGGTTAGAGGGGGTAGCGTCGCAGCTCTCCAGAAGCTCAGAGCGGCTTTTCTTTTCTTTACAGCTGTGTCTTCCCCATCGTCCTTCACAATGAAGACAAATACGCTAAGCACATCGGTGCCCAACTCCTACTACCCAGGTAACAGACTTTTCCGCTGTCTCCTCTGTGTATAGCCCTGTGGCAGTCAGATTCCGTCAGCCCCACCATGCTGTCCCTGAAACTTTAGGAGCTTCCTCTGCTTGACGTGTTGTGATCCAAGGCTTTCTGTGGCTTTCAGTGGGGAGGGTGGGGGACCGTTCATCAATCACTTACTGTTCTTTCTCTTTTTACCTCTCTGCACTGACCTGCTCATGATGTATGACAGACCCATTTGTGCCAACCGCAATTTTAGGTGAGAACATTTCCCTTTCCCATAGTTTCTGCAGGAGTGATGGAGACAGTCCGTGGCCACTCTGGGAGAGACTGGAGTTTCCTTCTGCATGATGCGGGGCTGAGGAGCAGGAAGGGGGACAGCAGGGCTGGGAGTGGATAGAGACTTGCTCTAACCAGTCTCCAGGGTGTGCTTGCATGTCTGCAGGGATGATACCAAAAGATTAAAACAGTCCCAGCTCCAACGTCCTCCCTCTCTACATTCAGAATCGAACATTGGTTTTGATCCGGGGGGTGGGGAAGCAGTGTGTCCTCACTCAGCTGTGTACTTCCCAGAGCTGAATTCTGTCCAGTGTGATAGTTGTAAAAGTGAAAATAGCTTCTCAATATTTTCACTTATTGTTAAGCACTCAAAATGTCAAATTCGAAAATAGCATTTTTCTAATTCTGCCCAACATTACGCAGAATGGTGATCACAATAGCGTGGGGGCCTTTACCACCCTCCCAGGTGGCCTAGCACCCCAAGTGTCTATCACTGAGTGGAATTTCAAAGGAGCTGATGTTCTGAACAGCAGCATGACCTGACGGCACTTTATAACCGTGTGGTTTATTCTGTGTCAGATGTCACTAGGAATGAGCTAAACCGTGAGCCCGGTGGGGCAGAATGCATTTCAAGTGTGAAATATTCCCAGCAGGGGGTTACAGAAAAGTCCCGTTTGTGCAGTGTAAGAAGGGTGAGGAGAAATGGCATTACCTGGCCGTGATAACCAAACGAGCATGGGCTGCTGTTGCATTTGAGACGCATAAATAACCCGAGTGTGTCCCGGCTGTGTTCTCTTTCTACTACTAACCTTACCGGAAAGGAGCACAACAAAAGCGACCTCCAGGTATATAACAATTCATCGTAGCCAGAGTTCCATCCTCAGCTGTCCACTTCCTCTCCCTAACTCTCTTTAAAGGGTATATATCTCTGCAACATGACTTTTCCTCCTGTGCCTCCCTTTTCTCTAAGCTGTTATGCTTTCTGTAGAAAGGATCATTTTTGTTTTCCTTTTGGTGTTTCCTGGCCTTAAGTTTATTGCCTGAGGGAAAAAAGAACTAAGGCAGAAGTTTAAGAATGAACATAAAACAGAATTATGGAACTGTGCATCATTTTGAGAGCAAATTAAGAAGGGCCACTAAACACACACACACACACACACACACACACACACACACACACGCCAGGGGAAATCTCCATTTTTGTTTTTTTCTGAGCAAGGGGCGCAGGCTAAGGTTAGGTATCCGAACACTGTGACGTACATGGAGATGACATGCATGGAGTCATCAAAAGGCGAAGCTCTGTGATTTCTTTGTGTCGAGGCATGCACTCCGGCTTGCTCTGGTAGATGTTCTGACCCCAAGGGAGCCCTGAGTGGGAGGGCATAGACTTGCTTCCTCGGAGGCAAGAAAGTATTCAGACCTCACAGCAGGGTGTACATAAGCTTGCTAAACACACGTCATTTTTCTGAAGTTGGTTATTTTTGTATTATGAGCAGTAATGACATCTCGGAAAGTTGGCTAGGTTTCCCTTCCAAGAGAATCACTTGAGTGGACAATTCAAGTTGCAAAACTGATGCACGTCATGGAGACATAAGCCAGCGAGATGGACAAGTAACTGTGCCTGGCGTAGCTAGCTCATCAGGTCCCAGCACACGAAGTGGCAGTATTTGGGAACCGCATCCCTCACCCATGCCATGGTGCATGTGTGCGTTTATACAATGCTTAGTAAGGATTGGTGGGTGAGGCTATTGCCTGAAACCCCAGAAGAAAAGCTCTGTATCCACTCCGGTACTTCTTGGAGACAGTACTGGTTAAAATTTTCATCAAGACAAGAAGGAATGCTGTGTTGTGAAGCAGGGCTCAGCACAATTAAATCTTACAATACCTTAACCTTCCTTCTCACCTGCTAAGAAGCCCAACCCCAGCATAGAGTTTAATTACATCCTTACCTCATCTGCTTATAAGGACAGGCAGGCAGGCAGAGGGGCCTCGCCAACTCACAAAGGTAGCGCTCATTTCAATGCACTAGTTTTCAAGTGAGTTCTTAAAAATTCAAGATAATTCATTTAAAACTATAGGTAGAATTAATTTTCAGTTCTTTGAAAAGCATCAGAACTGTTATTGCTAAGAAGTATTTTTTTATTCCATCCTCCTAAGGGAATGTTTTTAATTTAAAAATTTGTTGACTGTTCATATTTTCAACAAATACAACAAATGGATGGCAAGTGACATAGCTTATCTAATAATCAGGTTCTAAAATGTCAGAGGAAACTGAGGAATCACTCACTACAGTGGAATCAAGGATTCCTAACGGGAGAGATAACCGAGTTTCCTAACAGATGTGGCAGGGGCCACGTGTCCCGTCTTCCCACCCGGTTCTAGTTGTAGCTGCCCTCCTCCAGGTGGAGTTGGTAGTGTTTAAACGGATTAAATGTGTTCTACACAGAAAACAAGGCCAGGCTGTCGCTGTGTAATGACAGTGGCTGTAGCCATGTGGATTTAAAATTTCAAGAATACCTAAGCCTGGAATCCAAGTGTTGCTAGGCTACACATGTATCCGCTGCGAAGACCTTCATCATTTAGGGGAAGTTTAGAAGTTAAGCCCCCAAGGAAGGGTGAATTAATTATGTTCATCCCACAAGGGGCAAAACTGAGAGAATAAGAGAGGCACAGCGGGGAAACTGATTAATGTTCCATTTATTGTAGTCTAAAGAGCAGAGCTTCTTGCTGGAGGCCCCGAAAGCCTGGTGGATGCAGTCCGTCCCGGGGAGCCTGTGTCCCCCTCATAGTGCTTGGCAGTTGCCAGCTGCAAATCAGATGTGAAAATTTCCAGGTGTATTTGTGACTGTTAAGATGGGAACATACGCATTGCTAAATTTCAAAGCAAATCCAAATGAAAAAGAAAACAAACCATAAAATCAACTTGCCACCCCTTTTATTTTGTCTTTGTGTCTTTAGCCGCCTTGTAGTGATCCAGGTGTCATTTCAGCAACAGCGACATAGCTACACACTTGTGTGCCACCTTCATACCATGCATCCCCAGGTGCTTTGCGACGCAGATGGAAGCGAGGGTCGAGGACAGGTCCAGCTCCCCAGACCCCAGACCACGTTCCCTGGAGCTGAGCCACTCAGTGAAAATGAAAAGAGCAGTGGTCGGTGGCTATAGCTGAATTCCCTATGGATAAAGCATCCGGTCATTTCCAAGCATTGAACACATCCTCTCTTACATGTTTGGATTCTTTACGCCTGAAATCCATTTTGAAATGAGAGTCTCCTTCTCGTGACTTTAGCTCTGTATTTTGAGGATCGCCACCCTCAATCATAAAGCAACTAAAGGGATTCAGCGTTTTAATGAGTTCACCTACAGAATGTGAAATTCTTAATCACATAGCACTTTCCCGCCTCAGACATTTTTTAATAGCTACCATTTCTGCAGTTCATTAATCTAATTTAGTAGTAGCCACCCATTAAAACAGAGCCTCTTTGGGCTTATTTGACCAAATTTTGATGTTAATTTTGTAATACAATTTGCTTGACTTGCTCAAGAAATTCAAATGAGAGACTATGCTGAGTATAAATAAGCCTTTTTTAGTCATTACTTGGTTCATGGGGGATGAAAAGCAATTACGATACTAATTTTAACCTCCTTTCTGTTATTGAGCGCTTAAATTAAACATCTCCCTCCTAACTTGGTGGGAGAACTGGGGCTTTGCCCTCTGACCACCTCAGAATAGAAAATTTAACCAGGAAATTAAAGCACGAAATAAAAACAACCTGTACTTATTCACACGGTGCTATTGCTTATGCCCTGTTTCCTTTTTCTCCTCCTCTTTCTCCTCATATGTATCTTCTTAAAAGTGCCAATCAATGGTAAGTGCCCCACTCGCCCCTGCAGTAGTCGCGGAGGGCGGGCGTGTGTGTCTCACCCCAGACTCCGCCGAGCTGGCTCCGCCTGGCTGCATGCTTGCTGCTTAGAGCATCCCACGTGTGCTGTGTTGGTCCACGGTATTTGTCACGCTTTCTGACCCCAGAGCATGCACAGCGACTCATCGAAACATCCTCTCCAAACCAGGCCACCTCTTCTCCTTCCGCTCCTCTGCGTTTGTCTGTGTTTGTTTTGCATCAAGTCCCCATCCCCACGGAGAGCGTCATACGCCAGACCATTTTGTGCACTTTTATTTTGCTCACAGAACATCTGTACAGAGTTTATTTCCTTCATCAGACAAAGGAGTGACTCCCGTTTGGGAGACCCCAAGCCTGGCTCTGCACCAGGTCTTGATGAAGTTTCAGATCGAAACTTCTGCACATGTTAGCACCGAAAGGCTGAGTAAAAGCCTCTTCCAAGGAGCTGGGTGAACACAGTGTATCGTTTGGACTACTTTGTAAAAGCGAAGACCGCCTCATCCCTACCAGTACTGCCAGCCCCACTGAAATTTCAGTAAACATGTGGCGTTTCTTTCTGCCTGAGCCATCCCGCCGACTGCTGCCGCCATCGGTGTGGATGTCAGCACCGGCCTCTTTCGTAGCATCCTCGGTGGCCCTGTGCTAGCCACCAGCCACTTCACTCACTTTCTCCCTGGCCTTCTTCCCCCCAGACGAAACCCACACAATGGCCAGTGACACCAGCAGCCTGGTGCAGTCGCACACTTACAAGAAGCGTGAGGCGACCGATGTGCCATACCAGACTGGGCAGCTGCACCCTGCCATACGGGTGGCCGACCTGCTGCAGCACATCACACAGATGAAGTGCGCCGAGGGCTACGGCTTCAAGGAGGAGTATGAGGTGAGTTCACCCAGGGGGACCCGCAGCCCCTGCTGGACCCTTCTGCAGCTGGGGTGAGAGTCGGCACCGTGACAGCAAATGGAACCCACCCCTGCCCCATCCCCTCCCTCTGCATCCCCTGCCAGAAAATCAGAGGCCCTGGTTCTCCTCAGCTCCCATTGCTGACCTCCGCCCCCTGTCCCTGGCTTCTAGGAAGCCTAGGACGTTAATCCTGCTCCTTTGTAATTCTCTCGGAAAGAAACAGTCCACTTGTAACAGTCCTCGGCCAAGCAGGGCTGCCCTATGCTGGAGATGAGAAGGCGGTGCAGCGGCGGTGGCAAACCTACAGCGCGCATGCCTCAGCGGCCTGTTTGTAGCACTGAAAGCTCTAAAAGGTTTGCTGTCACTGCAGTACAGGGGCTGGCTGTTTCTTGGCCATGACAGCTGATGCTGTCCTGCCAGCCCAGAGAGTCCTGGGCTCTCTGTGGATAGTTCCTGGCAGTGCCACGGGCAGAGAGTCTCTGCTGTCTCTGAAGTGCAGGGCTCATCCCTTCTGTGGGCCCTGCCATTAGTGAGTGCTGCTGGAAGTCAAGAAAGAGAGAGAATCGAGTGCCTGGCAGAAGTCTGTCGCAGAAGTACCCGTCACCTGAGTGTGTGCAGGATGGGCGGGTGGATTCCTGTCTGGGATGCTTTTTATTTTTTTGAGGCAGGGTTTCACCAGGCTGTAGCCCAGGCTGGCCTTGAACTTGCAGCGGTCTTCCTGCCTCAGCCTCTCAAGTGCTGAGATTACAGGTGTGTGCCACCATGCCCAGCGCATGCCTGTGTGTTATTAAAGGGAGGTGACAGTCATTGATGAAGACTCACTCGTACGCCCAGAATGGAGAGGATGGGAGAGCCCTGTGGCTTTTCCATCTCAGGATGTTCTCTGCTCCCCGTCTCCCTAGCTCTTGTCATCCGCAAGCATCTTCTCTGGGATTAAAGTATTTTTCGATCAGCTCCTATGGCTTCACACAGCCTGCGGGCCTCCACCTGCTTCTGGCCCCTCGTGGGACTCTCGCAATGCCGCCCGTCATGCCCAATGCCACTTTGCTAAGCTCGCTCTTCCCCAGCGTGACTAGCAGGGACTGGGACACATGGCACTGGTGTCGGTGGCCTCCTCAGCACTTCTTTCAAGAGCTCCATAGCCAAGACAGATGTGCTGTGCTCCAGTAACATGTATACCCCAGTGTGTCGACAGCAACCTCAGATAGAAGAGGCCCGTGCCCAGCACTCAACCCAAACCACGCCCTGGGCTTCGTTTCAGGGTATAAATATTCTCAGATGCAACTCTGTATTTTAGAAACCCTGAAATTGTGAGACCTACCCTCAGTGGTTGGATGTATAATTCAGTGCAATTGACTGCTTTTGCATATAGTCTTCTGCACTTTTAAAGACCAGCTTAAGAATTAATAGGATTAAGGATGAAACTTCCAAAAGCATTAATATCTTATGAAAGACAAAATTAGGTTATTGAGAAAATATAAGCCTAATGAATAGAGATGATGTCTTACTTCTATCAAATATTCTGAATGCAGATATTGCTCTAATGTTTATGAAAGATGTTAATGTCAGAGAGATTAGAGGCTCAAATAACAATTCATAAAATAGCCCGAGTCCGATTTTTCATGCACTATTTAAAACTACATACCTTGTGACTTCTACAACTATAAATGATGCACATTAGAAAATGTGCCACAACTTGTTTCTCATGCAGAGCTCCTGGGGATACTCGATCTAGAGGTGCAAAATGAAGAATCTGATGCTCATTTTAATCATATTATGACTAACTTAGTCATTAAGAGTCCTTATACCTGAAATAAAGTGAGGTATTAATTACCTTTCAAAAAAAAATCTCTACCAAGTCAGTGATCAGAGAGGATGGTTTAAAAGTAAACACTTATTTAAGTCCCAAATCTGTCCTCAGTTTTTAAAAAGAGGAAAGAGAAAGAAAGGAATGGAGTAGCACACGTTAGAGAAGAAAGCAGGTGCTCTGGGAAGGGGCTGTGGGAGGAATAGGAAAGGACAGTTCTGCTAGGGATAATCTCACACCTCTGTCCCCGCCCTCCTGGCGGCCACTGGTGACAGGAGGACCCGGGGAGGCAGAGGTCAGGGTGGAGGATAGGTGCGGTGGCTGCGGAGGAAGGGCCACCTCCTAGAGGTGTCCCCTGGAAGCCTGAAGTCCCAGCCTCGCTGTCCTGTGGAGTCTGCGTTACGTAAGGTCAGCGCCCAGGCCTCAGCGGCCCCGCCACGCTCCTGGGGCTGGCAATATGGCCAGTAGTCCTTTTCTATTTTCTCTAACCCCAGGGAGTTCTTACTCGCATGTGAATCTGGAGAATCTTTAAATGGTTACTTCTGAAAGCCCAGCTGGATGTCAGATCTGTAACAAAGCGCACTTCACACCCGGCGTGATACATGTGTCTTTCCCGTGAGCACAGCCCAGAGCTGGAACAGCCTGGCCCAGTGGGCCCGGGTGGCACTCAGCCGGTCACCTCACAGATGGGCCGTCAAGGGGCCCAGGCTCGGGACCCAGGCTCCACTCTGCCTGTGTGACTTTCGGCAAGTCTTGTGAGGTGTGGTGATGACAGCTTCGCCTCCTGGGGTCGTTGCGAAGATGCAGTGACGTGTCCGTCACTGTGCTGGAATCACCCGGCACATAGGAGGCGATCACACAGAGGCAGCAGCGCAGGCACAGAGGCAAGGTATGGTGAGGTCTGAGAGGGGACACCACGGGCAGAGAAGCTGCATCACCCCAAGGCTCCATCCCTGTCGCCACCCCTCAAATGGAGCATCAGGGAACGGAGCCAGCCACACGCTTGGTGCAAAGGTGCCCATCCTGTCTGCTCCAGCTGTGGGGCTTGGTGGTCACCTTACCACATGTTGCCCATGCTCAAAAGTTCCTAGAGGGGCTGGGGATTTCGCTCAGTGGCACGGCACCTGCCTGGCAAGCGCAAGGTCGTGAGTTCGATTCCCGGTACTGGAAAAAACAAACAAAAAAAGTTCCTAGGAAACAGTCACTGTATATAAATTGGCCGTGTTCTGGGGTGTAAGAGTTTAAGAACTGAGAAAAGCTTAAGAAGTGAGAAATCTGTGCTATCCCCTGTCCTTGCTTAAATAGTATTTTCATATCTAAGATAAGAAGGGCCTAGGGAATTGTATAACTGTTAATAGACTATAGACTCTTCTTTAAAAAGAAAGGGCACAGTGGTGTCTTTGGCAAAGTAGGATCTGGGACAGGGTTGCAGGGCCAGAGGTGCAGGGGGGGACGGTGGCCCCCACAACCACCATCCATTCAGGAAGCTCCCAGCACAAGGCCCAGCAGCTGAATGGCCGCTGTAGAGCATCTGATCAGAAACTGTGCCCGGACTATGTTCAGGGGTGCTGTGCAGGCCAGTGGGGGGCGCCCAGGCCAGCCTGTGCCGAGATGGCTTCCCCAGACAGGGTGAGTGGGAGTCGGGCAGGGGCAGGTGAAAGAGGACACATTTTAGCTCGACGCGAAGCACGAGCATGGGGAGCACGGGGGCAAGGGCACCATTCTGTACACGTGAGTCACGGGAGGGGCTGGGGGACAGGGCCGTCAGGGATCCCTCATGGAGGACATCTGGATGTCACAGTGGAAGAGAAGGAAGACTCGAGGGGCGGGGGGCGCAGGTCTTGCCCTAGTGTGAGGATGGAGATCTGGCGAGTGTGAGCTGCTCAGCCCTTAAGGCTCACGAGAGTTGCACGGGAATTGCTGATAGGTCGTAGTCAATACCCAGAAAACGTAAAAGGGAGAGGGAAGACATCCTGGCTGCAGCGGGGTGACGGGAAATGCAGTCCTCTGTCCCTGTGCAGCACTGTCCAGCACACCTGGCTTCCAGGGTTCCCGGGCCGCGAGTGACGTCAGTCCGGAAGAGTCTGGGGACAAAAAAGAGCAAGAGCAGATTCCTTACTGCTGTGGCTCGTGTCTGTCACCATCCACTTAGTCTTTCTGGTTTTCTTCTGTCCGTGTATTTGGGGGAAACCAGTCATCAAGTTTCACATTTCTGGAGCGTGACTTTTCTCTCTGGTGACCCTGTTCTACCCCGTTCTGCACCTTTTCCAAGGCGGCAATGTCCGAAAGTCGGCCTAAACACTGGCAGCTCTGTTACCGATCTCGTGGCTGACAGAAGCGTCCAAAGGAGAGGACTGGGGCAGGGACGAGAAGGGGCTGAGGTGAGGATGGTGTGGGCCTTTGTTTGACTTTGTTCTAACAAGGTGGTCATGTGGCACACTCACCAGGGAGACGTAGTAATTTGATTCAAAAGAAACTCAGGCAGGAATCACAATCAAGGAGTAAACATGCTGGAGTGAGCAGAAAATGGCACATTCGGCAGGGAGGGCCACGGGGTCTCTGGGGGAGACAGAGTGGAAAGGGCAGGTTTGTTGATGTTGCTGCGAGAGACGAGGCTGTCTGTCTGCGCCAGCCCTGGGGGACGAGGCTATGGGCTTTGCAGGAATGGAGACGGACACAGCCGATCTCGGGGGACAGTGCTCGGCCACCCTGCCCTGCAGATTGCTTGGCCTTTCATCACCAGCGCCCAAAGGGGAGACTCACCACAGACTGCAGCTCTTCAGCGCCTGTGCTGGACATGGGTGTTCCACTTGTCCCCGCAGCGTGACAGCCGCCAGAGGGGCAGTACTGTGTCAGGGATGAGGCAGTGGTGACCCTGTGTGGCTGGAGAGTGATTTTTCTCCCACTCTGTGCTCCCCACAAGACCTTGCTTAGGGCTCATTTTCCATCTGCATTTATTTTGTGTTAGTACGTGTTCACAGGGCTAATGAGGACGCTTCACCGTGGGAGCTGGGGCGTGCCCATGACACATCAGTTTTTGTCCCTTGCTCCTCCTTTCCTTCTTCCATCTCTTAGTCCCTCCCCTTTTTGCAAACATTCTGGCTCCCTGCTTCCTATTATATGTCTTCTGTTCGATCTTTAATTCACTTACTCCTCAATTTTTTATTTATTT